TAATTTTTTCGTTAATTGGTTTTTTCCAAGCATATTGAACTCGTTTTCCAATAAAGAGATGGACGTTATTTGATTAAGGATGAGGGGAATTTCTTATTTTGTTTCCATACTTCCCTCTTTCAACAGATCTGGTAATCCTTATTACACTTAGAAGATAATTGAAAAAATAACAGTGGTCTACAAAAAATTTTTTTCTCCTCGCTGTTTTCATGCATAATAACATCATATTCGGTGCCTTAAACACAGAATTTAATATGCAAATAAATACAGCAGATAATTTCAATTTAATTAAAGAATGATATCAAAGTAGCAACAATTACAAAAAGTGAAAAAAGGCTACGGTCTAACTTTTACAGCGAAATATGCTAATTTTCACAAGTTAAAGGGATATCAGTATATTGATCTCAATATGATAATCTAATTCAAGTTATTTTGTAGTTTTTTTTTCTTTTCATCGTTTCCATCGAATCGACCAACAAAAATCAGCAAGCATTTCATTATGCATAATATCCTGATGAAACCTTTCACCATGCTCATCTGATACGGCACCGACATTTTTCGGAAAGAAATCTACATGCGAGTGCAAGAAATGAATTTTTAGTTACATATTGCATCCTAAAGCTTTATAAGCAGAAAGAAGCTCTCGAATGATTTGTTGGTAGTTGTCAGCTTTTGTATTACCAAAAAAATTATGACACACTTTTACAAAAGCCACCCAAGCTTTTTTTCAGCCTTGTTTAACTTCAAAGTGAAAACTTCATCCGTCATAAGTTCTCGTATTTGCAGACCTACAAAAATCCCTTCTTTCAATTTCGCGTCACTGATCCCAGGAAATTTTGTTTTGAGATATTGAAAGCCTGCACTATCTTTGTTCATAGCCTTCACAAAGTTTTTTATGAGTCCCAACTTTACACGAAGTGGTGGCAGGAAAAGTTTGTCACTTGACACTAGAGGTTCCTGAGATACATTTTTAAGTCCAGGTGTCCAACTTTTTCTTTGTGGCCAAGTGTTCACTTTGTAATGTTTATCTTTCGTGCGACTGCCCCACTTACATAAAAAAACAGCAAAGCTTGGTGTATCCTCCTAGAAATCCACTAAATATAGCGACAACTTTTAAGTCAGCACAGATATTCCATAGGTATTGAGAATATTTTATTTTTTCAAGTAATACCTGTAGATTTGCATAATTTTCTTTCATGTTCGTTGCATGTGCTAGAGTCACTGATGGGTATTTATTTCCATTGTGAAGTAAAACGGCTTTCAAACTAATCTTCGGTGCATTAACAGAAAGTCTCCATTCATCAAAAATGCGTGCGAAAATATGAGACTCTCGTACTTTTATCCAATAAATTCCACTGTTTCACTCTTGATCCGAGTAATTGAGCCCCAGATTTTGATAGCCCCAAGTCTCTAACGAGATCATTTACATCAGATTGTTTAAGAAAATAAGGTTTTGATGGGCTTGAAGATCCAGATGAAGTGTATAATGATGAAGATGTACAGGTAGAGATGAAACTCAATTGGGGCTGTATATCAGAAGTGTTTTCATTTTCCATCTTCTCGCTACTTTTTGGAGGTACTGCCTTCACCACGAAATTGGTCTCTTTGCAGATGCATTGTTCGGAAACACAATCTTGTCATTATTTTTTTTTTCGAGAATCCTGGTGTTGATGTCATGCAGAAATAACAGTCATTTTCATCATTCTGAGGTTCACACCAAAGCTTTGGCATTGTAAACGGCATAGATTTGTGACTTTCTTCAATCCAACCTCTCAACGTTCATGAATCACTGTTACAGCAAATTTTTGGTAATCGACTTTTATCCCTCTCATCGATAGAAAATCCAAAATAAAGTTGATAAACCATTTTAACAAGATCTGTTGTTGCATTTCACTGCGTCTTTAGAGTAAACTCACCACAAATGTAGCAAAATCTCTGTAGAATTCTTACAAGTGTGCGGCATTTTATAACCTAAAATTCATTTAAAAACATTTTCTAAATCTCTGAATTTTGAGGAAATATTCATTCAGACCGTGGTGACCTGTTTAAAGTCTTATAATATTATTCTTTATTTTTTAGAGAAGTGTTGGCGAAATTTCCAGGCGTGCATTAGTTCCCATGCCTTCAACCTATTATAGAGCAAATCTATTTTTTCAGTTTAGGAGAATCTGTAGACTTGAAGTTGTCATGTGATGTTGTGGTCTGCAGTTTTCCATGCACAGCTCTACCAAAGCTTTAGAGCTTTTTCTGGCAATATCCAGCAGTAATAATAGATTTTGCTAGCCATAGCTGCAGCAATTACATGTTAGATATATCCATTTTTGCTTGCTGGCTGTAGAATAGGATGTGAGTAGCTAGTCTCTTTAACAGAAGATCGACTACACCATATCCAGGATGTATCGACATGTACCCTGAAAAGCAAATGTCTTGGCTCTTGAACCAATTCATTTTTCGATATTTAGCTTTAGTTTGTTGTTTCTATAGCTTAAATATATACAAATCTTTCTGCACTAGGTCTATAGCTCCCTCTCAGACCCTTTCTGGGATTACAATCAAATATAGCCTATGTCACTTGGGAATTATGTAGCTCCTAATGGTGGAAGAAAATTGTAAAATCGGTACAGTAGTTCCAAAGATTACCTTCTACAAACTCATAATAACACTCTTTATAATATCAGTGTGGAGCTCGATGTGCTAATAAAATATACTAAAATAAATGAGGAATACTAGCCATGTGTGCAGTATTAACCATTTTTTTTTCATTTAAAACTTTCATGTATGCCGATATGTATGGATTATAATTATAATAATAATAATATTTATTCGCCAAAATACAAAAGATGGGCAAATAAATATGAAAAAACCACAGAAGGCATCGCCTGTGTGTGGTTTATATCTTAATAACTAACAATCAATCATATATGTGTATAACAATTATTGTTAAATCTAAAAGGTATTAATGTAATTGGAATTTTGTAGTTTTAGTTTTCTATATAATTATGTATAGTCATTCGCTGCACATTACTAACCTTTCTTTCAATTTTTTTCTAAATTTTTTTCCAAAATTAAGTATCTTTATTTCGTGGTACTATATTATATAATTTAGCTGCTAAGAATTTAAATGATTTTTTGAATAATATTTTGTGTGGTCTTTGGATATTAGATGAGCCTATTCGAAATCGTGTGTTATGCTCGTGTTTATAGGATTTTTTCTTTTTATTACAATACTTATGGTATAACGTAAGGTGGTGGCATGTAAGAAATAAAGCTGTCTTGTATCAAGTATCCCTGTTTCTTGATATAAGTTGTTCGTTGGATATAATCTTGGCTTATGGAAAATGGCTTTCAAAACAGTTCTTTGTGCTATATTCAGGTCAGAAATATATGTCTTGCAGGCGGCACCCTAGGCTGTGATGCCGTATATTATATGGGTTTCAACTAAGGCATGGTATAGGATTCGCAGATAACTTTCTGTAAGAATGTTAGCAAGCATTTTGATTTTATTTTTTTGATAACATATTTAATATGGTTATCCCACCTTAGATGTGAGTCTATAAATATTCCAAGATATTTCAAAGTGTTAACTCTATCGATTTTGGTCTTTTGGCCATGATAATTAACGGAAATTTGTTCGAAGAGTCCTTGTGGCTTCGTGCAGTGCGATTTACGTAACTGTTCAAAGTTTTGAGGAGGACTTCTCAATATTTGGTTCGTAAAGGAAACGTAGGTAGATTTCAAATCGTTCGTTTGATTTTCTACCTCTTGGTCAATTTCACTAATTTTTTTAGCAGCCTGTACCTCACTAACAGAATAGATCTTTGTCAGTTACCTTCAAATGCTGTAACTGTTACAGCAGTCATAGCAGGAATATCTGATACATACAAAACAAAGCTAGACCTAAGATGGTCCCCTGGGCACTCAAGCATCCATATCCAGAAGATCATCTTACTTAACTCATACATGCATACATATACACCAAAGTCAGAAGATTACCGAGATGCTAGGCTCCGCAAAATCAATCAAACCTAAACAAACCCGAATCCGGCCCTATACCTCCATCAGATCAAACGTGAACACGTACGATGCGGATCAGTACTCAATCCAAGCGCTGGTTGAGTTTCAAAACAAAACCTTTACACATCGGTTATGAGAAAATAGCTCACTCTTACAGCAATATCGGAGTTCTCCATATTAATTTAATTTACGGTGTCTTCGAAATGCTACCGATGTTTCGCGAGGGCATGCAGATCGTTTTTAGAGGTCCTTCGGATTTCTTTTTTTGTTTGGGCGAAATGAAATGCTTAGTGTATAAAACTGAGGTGGACACCGTTGACGAATTACGTGTGCGAATTTAACAATCTGCTGCATTCATTCTGGAAAGGCAGTTTATTCCAAAAGCCTAAAAAACTTTAAACAATACTTACAAGTGACAGAGCTGTACTTGAAACTTCTTTTCGATGAATGGTGAGAACTTTCTCATTATTATTTTTTTTACGTTTCCGCTGTTGATTCACCGCACATTAGCCTTGTTATTGCAAACGTAGTTATTTCTGAAAAGGAAAGTCCCAACTTTCAGGCACCCTGTATTCCCCAATCTTCGATCTTAATAATGAGCTCATCATACCAAACTTTATCGAACGTTTAGGCAACATCCAGAAATGGTGCATTGCAAAAGTATTTCTCCTCAAGAGGTCATTATAAATGATCTGATTTGATGCACTTTATCGATTGTAGAACTAGAGAAAGTAGTAACATACATTTTTATTATTCTAGGACGCATTGTATATTTGATTTGCTGATTTTTTTCTGTAATTCTGAATATCCTGATTGATGTACTGTTTATAGTTGTGCCCATAATCACTCGTGCTCAATTAGCTCCCAAGTAGAGTGTACTTAATCTCCATAAAGCGATACTAATGCTCCGGTAGTTAATCATCAGCGAGCTTGGAACGCTTGAAATGGGGCTGGAGAAGCTACTGTCGGCTCCTTTGTGGCAGTTATCATCGACATTGCTGGATTGCTGCAGAGTTTAACCAGCCAAATCCAGATTTGATTTGAGTGTATGTAAATACGCTCAGTGGCATTGTGCAACTGTGCAGAGAGCTTTGTATTTGCGTTCCGATATCATAGTCAATAGCTGCTGGACTGTTGTGAAATACATGAGCCATCGAGATTTTCTGCTTTGAAAATACTCGAGATTGGTTATCGTATGAACGGGAAAATATACATGACTTTTTAGCTTTTATACGCTCCTCTATATTAATAAATATCCAATGTATCTATACTGCCTCAGGCAGCGGTTTTTACGTGTGGGTCTGTATCTATCTATCCAAGAAATTTTATTTTACCCGCTAGAGGCCAAACGGCTTCATGGATGTTGGCATATCTACAAATATAAGCTGTCGTTGGATTCATTTTAGCTGTATTTTGTTCGTAAATTGTTACAGTACTTTGTAATAATGTTGGCGTTCGCAATTGTTTGACGTACCTGTTACATGCACTGCGAGAATTGAACAAAGTTTGTTGGGCTTTAGATTCGTATTTTTAGCACAATTAACATTTCATTTTTTTCAGGTCGGCCTTTTTGTATTATTCAAAAATGTACTTATTTCTACCGTGGTTAGCTTACCACAGAATGCATTTACGCCTTCATGACAATGGTTTTTTGTGATTAATCGGATAAAATTATTTTACTTATCTATCAGGTCTCTGTGTTATTTGGAGTTGGACCAACAGCGTTGAAAACCTTTCAAGGGAGCTACTGTTGATAGGAGCAATAAATGTGTTTACGTACAGTGTTACATCATCCACCTAGTCGTTCACTGCACACTGCACATTATATTTGTTATGCACTGGAAGTTTTTGGTGAACAAAAAATGCCACATATAGGGTGAGATTTTAGCTCCGTTATTAGGCGTGGTATGCAAGAAAGTTGAATACAAAGGGTGTAGCCAATAGTATTCGTAAATACGTGGCGACCCACATATATATTTTTTTTAATGATAAGCTATATATTTTATGCAGATTTGGGTAGGCCTTTTCAAACGAAGCAATTCGGTATAACAATATACATGCAGGATTTTTCGTAATCAATTCGACATAGGTAGCTAGTATGGACCGAAAACTGTTCATTCTAAAGATAAAAAAGGTCTAAATTCTTCAATTACGGATTTACTAATTTATGTAAGCAAAAACTAAATATTTGTTATCACATATCTCATGTACTAGTTAACCAAATAACCAATAAAAAATCCAAGACCGGACTCGATTTTTTCACCTTATTTGGTTTTATCAAAATCAACACCTTTTAAGCGGACTATTGAAATACTTGAAAATTGAACTAAAGGTGTTTTAGGGACTCAAAATTCCAGGGTTGGATTAATTCTTTTTATTCCGTTTATTTTATTAGGCGCAATGTCCCGTAAGTTAACTCTGAATGACTTATTATTTCGCAGGAAAGAGAGCACTACATGATATAAATAAAGGAGGAAATCAATGTTATGCACCCTTTTTACCTTATTCGGTAATGTTTTAATGAGTTAATTCTACCAGCTGGCATTGTGCAACAACATGGGTTCTGCTTCAAGTCATCGTTGGTTGTCAGAGCGGTCCGTGGGACCTTAGCTCTTGAGTCACAGTGTCAGTTTGTAAGTCTGTCAGGTTTGGTAACCCAGAAACCAGACAATTTTAAGGAAAAAATGGAAGGAAATTAGTGAAGGAAGAACGAGAGCAAAGGGGAAGAAGAGAATCTATTAGGATAAGCAGCGTTTAGGCATTGTTAAAATCACTTCACAGATTTTGATATGGTCTAAAAATATTCGATTTTTTCTAAAGATTTTGTCAAAATGTTCCAATTTTGGTTGTTCAAAGTTCACGAGTTAATTTTGATTACAGTGCGAGCCGCGGCCTTTTGTGCTCGCGAACTTGCGACTGTGTAGTCCACTGACTCACGCAACAGAGGGTTGCTGTGCGATTCCGCTAATGCTTAATGTATTATGGGTTCTGCTTTGACCTTCCAGACAAAATCCACAAAAACGTAGTATGCAGGTTCAAACCTGAACATGACTATTCTGAAAATACTGCCCGGCACGGGTATTGCGTAATTTTTTTGACATTTCTTAGGTTTTTTTTACATTTCGTAGGTTTTTTTTACATTTCGTAGGTTTTTTCAACATTTCGTAGGTTTTTCTACAAATATTAACTTAGCACAAGCTGTTGTACACTTGTTGTGAACTCGTATTGTAGCTGTACGTGTTGCTTTAACGTCAGCGAACAGCGATCGTAGCAAGTAAACGTGGAATTAACCATTTGCACACTAAAAACTTCCTAGTCTGCAAGATGACACATCGTCGGTTTTCTTTTTTTGACGTTTAATATGCTTTTTACATACCCGAATTAGCCAGCATATTAGGTTGTTCTGTATTTTCTTTATAATCTTGAATCAGTCTGGAGGGTCAAATTGATACTGAATACCGTTTGTCCAAGAAGGACTCATGTTGTTGTAAAACATCAGGTGGTAGAATTAAATCATTGAAAAATTATTGATAAAACTACTACTACTAATGTGTGGCTCCCTTTGGAATAATAGTAAATTTGGAGTTGCACTTTCCTGAACCTGGCCCTGGATTTTAAGTTCTAAAAACATCTTTGGTTCAATATCAATCATTATTCTATAAAATATTGATGAAACTAAGTTGATAATCCTTAAAATTTTGAGTTTTATGTCACATGAACCGCTAAAAATGATATTCGATTGAATAAAAGCTATTAACCAAAAAAACGTTAAAAAAAGTGCAATCTATATTTTTCGCTAATTAATTAGCAACATCCATTAGATTTTTTTATGCATAGTCAAACATTTTTATATTCAGCTTGAAACATGTGAATTTTGATAAAAACCTAGTTTTACATTACGCCTAGGCAACTTTGTTGATGTGCAGAATATCCGCAAAATCGGTTAATAGTGCCTGCGATATGTAATATTAAAGTTTCGACGGGTTTATATAAATCACAGTAATAACTGAACTTTTTTATTTTCCGATATGGTAAGGACTCGACCATACGGCCTAAAACTTCACTAAATAGTCCATTTAAGTATGGAGCACCCTGCTTAGGGTTTAATTTTCAAATCGTTGAGATATGCCCATCAAACCCATATTTCTGTTTTTTTTAATAGTTTATACAGGGCGATCAGGAACGCAAGGTCTACTGTTTTTCCTAATTTTCAAATGATATTAGGCAAACTGGTAGTTCTGTATTCTGTACTTACGTTAAAATGATCTCCGCAGTAATATGAATTACATTTTGGAGATATATTATCCCACTTCATAATTTTACACCTCCTTTCTCTTACCTTAGCATCTCGGAGAATATGGAAAATCCGGTGCATTTCGCATCATATTTTTAGAATACAATACAGTGTTTATAATAAGGTTTCCGTTCTTCATCCATGCTTCTATACTGTTTATAAAAACTAGAGAATATATAATAGAACCGAAGCGCAAAAAATGCGGCGCTGGAATTGAAATATGATAAGATCGATGCCCTAAGATCGCTTAACTAAAATAAAAAATCAAAATTGTAGTTTTCCAAAATTATAACAATATTGATATGATGTTTACATGACAAACGCTCAGATCTGACTGAGTGTAAAATGTGTTGAGAACAATAAAGTAAACTCTAGGTGTTCTAGGAAATTGCTGGCAAAACGCAAAAAAGTGTTTCCTGCTATCAATGCTGAGAGGTGGTGTGGAATGTTATTGAAGCTTAGGCGCGTCATTCAGGCTGCTTCACGGCAACGCTCGGCCCAAGTTGGGATAACAACGCAGGCGCAGTTTCGTTGGAGATTACGAGATCATATACCATCAGACCTTCATCTTTTTACAAAACTTAAGGAATTTCTTGGTGTGAAGCTTTTGGGTAATGATGACATGTTGAAAGAAATAGTAACTGCTTTCACGACCGTCTTTAGGGTGGAGCGAGTGAAAAGCTTTGATTGGATAAAAATCATATAATAATGTACAAATATACGTGCATAAAGTATATGTCTGATTACTCTCGTATTATGTTAAATTATTGATTGATTACAAAGGCTACGAAAGAGATAATCGTGACCAAAAGAATGCAAACCATCGTTTGATAGTGGCGGCGGGGTCCTGGGTGGCAGCTCCTTGTCCCCAGTTGCGTCGCAGTTACTTCGAGGGCTAGTTCGATTTTTAAAAAAATCAAAGTTGAAGGTTTTGTGGCAGCCACATTGGTACCAAGAGAACTTAGCGAAACTGGGTGTAGAGCCAAAGTTCAAAGAAGTTAGACACATAAAGAAAAGAAGAATGTTTGAGTTCGTGGGAGAAGTTGTGCCTATGTCAGAATCTGCCGAGCAAAAGTTTAAACAATATTTAAGATTTCCTTTTACGAATACCAAAAAATAATAGTATGTGCATATAATATGAATATTTTGTATTTATTTGTGAGTGGTTATCCACTACAAAAAAAAGATTTCTAATAAGGATTTATTTATTTCCTGGCAGACCTAAATTTTATTATAATTTTCCTAATGATTCATTGCTTGAAAAATTAAAGTGGAAGAGCTTAGACCATAGTCATAAATCATATTTCGTTCTTATCTCAATTCTTTACACAGAGTGAAATATTGTATACTTACATCAAAAATAAAAATAGACTCAACCCTGACAAATGAAAAGAATTAAGTAAATAATTGGCGTGCTTTGAGATAAAATGACTCCATCAAAAATGCTAAAAACACTTTTTTGCACGAGAACTTTGAAAAATTTTAGGAGTAGACCACCTTCTTTAAGAACTAGTTTAACGATTAGGTAGCAGCGTTATTTGAAGACGGGATCCAAAAGCTGGTGTCACGAATTGACAATAATGTAAAAATATTTATGGTCACTTGAAAATAAAAAAAGCTTATATTTTATTTAGTGATATAATTTACCTTCAAAAATAAAGTCTCTCTGACTCCATTACAAATCGGTTCTTACTTAAAGCATGGCCCTGGTATTACGTCACAATTTTGGCGGGAAATATAACATTTGAATTTTGGAGGGAAAGCTTTGTTACTTCTCGATAATAGAAAAGGAATAAAACACATTATGCCAAAATGAACATTTTACCAAATGTCATATTTAGACCGATATCACACGATCAGTATTTGCTGTGATCTGTCAGTGTTAATGTGATATTTCTGACCGTGTAGCCAGAACGACAGTAATAATTGGTATGTAAGGTCCAATG